AAAAAAGAGGGGGGGGGGGGGGGTGTACTCATAGTCGTGCATGCCGTAGTCGTTTGACCATTGACCTCGCATCCCTACAAAGCCGGGACGGAGCACGCCGGGTTCTCACCGGACCAGGCTCTCACATCACCAAGCGCGAAGCGCCGTGAGGTATTTGGCGAGTCGCATGAAGGGTGAGCTGCATCCTGCTAAGGGTGTTCGGCATCTTGTGCTTACTTCCTTGCGTACGGATGACAGCTACGTATGACTTAATTTATTTTCTGGTGCGTTCACTTCCAGAGACAGTTGTAAGCACTGTGTAACTGCCTCGAGGAAGCTTGACCATTTTAACACAACGTGGTGCGATCATCCCCCGTTGCGCGGAGTGAGGTTTCTCGACCCCGCACAACATGATCTACTCGACCACCATTATGGTTACCGCCATAAAAAAAACCGAGGTAAAAAAAAAACCGGTAACCTGGTTGCCGAGTTCACGAAGTGAATTGGCTTGTTTTACAACGTCGTTGCCAAGCGACGAAAACCCAATCCCGATGGCAAACACCGAGTGGGGGGCTTGTTTTACAACGTCGTTGCCAAGCGACGAAAACCCAAACCCCGATGGCAAACACCGGGGGGGGGGGCGGCTTGTTTTACAACGTCGTTGCCAAGCGACGAAAACCCAACCCCGATGGGCAAACACCGGGGGGGAGGGGGGGGCGCTTATGTTTTGCGTGCGTTAGCGGCTAGACCACGCGTCCTCGAGAGGACGGAGCATTGTTCCTACAGGACCGATCCATCACCGATGGCCAATCGCGGGGTGGGGGCCGGTTTTTGTTTGATCTCGTGGGCAAATAGACGCGCACTAAGCAGCCGTCGGTGCTGGTTGAGATCTGGGGTTCGCGTATGGTGGTCGGGACAGAGGGGTAGACGGCTTGGACCGAGGACTTGATCTTTGATGTGATCTTCGCCAACTGAATGCTTGCTTAATAGTAATAGTCGTTGTTGGACGTGCGATGCACACCAACAGTGAAGTGAGTGCAGAACGCGCCACCCGTTAAGAACCTCTATTAATAGTAGTTTCGGCCGAGGGTGGGGTTCTTACAGGACAGTAGTTCCTAGGGTCATGCTACGAACGGTAATGGTTGCTATATACCATAGGTTTACGTGTAGGGGTTCTTCTCCGAGCTCACAAATGCTGCTTAACTTCTTAAATGTTGATTATTAAGAGGCTCAATTTCTTAACTCCTGAGTTCCTAAGTGGTGGCGCGTTCTGAAGTCGAGAAGATGAAATTATGCGAGCTTGGGGTGGACATGTTGGCGTGCAAAGCAGAAAGAGCAACGATCGTGTTTCGCGGGGAGGTATTTCGGCTTCGCCTACAGTACAGTGGCATTACCAAGGCCGCTTTGCGTCAAAATTCAACACAAGAAGACCGATGCTCACATGCGCAAAGACAAGTTTGTCGCATTCGATTGAGCGTTGAGAGCACAACTACTGTTCGTTCGCATCTGTACCAATATAATCTTCGACAAGAAAAAGCCAAGAAAAACACTAACGAGTAACAAAAGCAACAGAAGCCCCCAACCACCAACAGCTGCACTGCAGCACACAAACCTCCAACCTTTGACACGTCGAATCCCCTCGTCTCCCTCTCGATCGGCCCCTCGCCCATCTCGAGCTGCCGCGCCTGGCGCACCGCCTCCGCTGCAGCCGCCGTCATGAGATGCCGCACGCTGTTCATGTTCTTCACCTCCACCCTCTCCCCTAGCCCTTCCGTTCCCGCCGGTCTGACGGAAACGTTGAGGTCGCACCGCATCGATCCGTCCTCCATGTTGCCGTCGCAAGCCCCGACCCTACGCAGGAACAGCTGCAGGGATCGCAACGCCGCGCCGGCCTCGGCCGCGCTCCGTATCTCCGGCTCGAAGACAATCTCCATAAGAGCGGTGCCCGCGCGGTTGAGATCGACCAGGCTTCTCTCAGCGCCCTCCCCCTTTCTGTCATGGAGGCTCTTGCCGGAGTCAACCTCTAGCTGGATGCGAGTGATACCGATGGCAGGCACATGAAAGCCTGGGTCGTTGCTGCCACCTTGGAGCTCGTCAGCGGAGCGCGCTTTGGCGGCGCCCCCGGCCTTCGGCTTCGTCGGTCCCGCCGGGTCGAAGATGAGCGGCAGCGAGCCCCCGGTCGCGATCGGGTGCCGTTGCTGCGTGATCTGGTACCCGTGGGGGAGGTCGCTGTAGAAGTAGTGTTTGCGCTCGAAGACGCTGCGGCGGTGCACTGTGGAGCCCAGGGCGAGAGCGGCTTTGACGGCTTGGTCGACAGCCGAGGCGTTTAGCACGGGCAGGGTGCCTGGGAAGGAGGCGTCGAACAGGCTCACCCTAAATAAAAGGGTTCAAACAAGAAGGAGCGCTGTTGGTTTCTCCTGTGCTTGCAACAGTGAAGTGTGTGCATGGACGGAAACCGTCCTATAGCTCGGTACGTCCGTGTAGGTACACCACGCATCCGTGAGAGAAACGTTACCTAATTAATATATAGTAGCTCTGAGGTCGAGGGATATCACCCCTCCAATAGTAAATTCAAGTGTTACCTGGAGTTAGGCTCGTCATGCTCGCTGGGTGCTGCTGCTTGGGACCTCGAGAAAAGCTTCGAGCGAAGCCGAATTTGAGCGTGCACCTCCAGGCCAATAAACACATCCCATGCGCCTCCTTTGGGACCGATGATTCTCTCTGCTGCACGCTTCATGGCTCCGCAGCACACTCGCGTTGTCGGGTGGCTCTCTTCTCATGTGTAATGACTTGGGGGGATATTTAAAAGCGGATGGTAGGTATGTTACGAGAATCTATGGTACGGAACCCCTTGGCAGGCCCAAAACTGCCAGCAGTACAGCGCCACGCACCTGTTCAGCACCTGCTGCACCTGTCCTCTGTCCTCTTGTCTGGTAGGCACGTGTTCCCAGAGAGGTGGAGAGGGGGGGTCGTGGTTAGGAAAACGAGCTGCGTGGCCGAAGCAGCGGCAAGATGGCGACGCGAGAGTTCTGGTTGCTCACGTCATATCTGTTGGTTGCCTTGAGACGGGCGTTGACGGTGACATGGATTCGGATCAACAAGTTCCTCATGAAGCCCGACTGGGTGATTCGACCCGTGGCGGATTTTCGACACAAGGTGTGGTTCGCTCAGCCGTCCCCTCGATTTCCCGAGCTTTCGTAGGCGTGGACGTTGAAAACTTGCTCGCGAACTCGCGAAGCAGACATCCAAACGCGGAGGGTCTCTGACCCGCTCAAAGTGTGTTGACTTTTCACTTTTCATCTTCAATCCCTCTTTGCAGTGCGAAGCGTTGACTGCTGTTTACTGTTCTGCTGAGATCGGGACAGCAGTAGGTACACAGCAGTAGTTTACTGCAGCAGTTGTAGAGATGCGCTTGGGTTCATCTTGCAGCAAGGCCCTACAGTAGTCCAATCGCTCCTGAGACTCATCTTAATCGTTACTGTTGTTCTGTGAGATCAGCAGCTAGTCTACACAGCGAGCGGTAGTTTACCGCAGCGGTGGAGATACGCAATGGGTTCATCCTGCTGGAAGCCCTTACGGTCATTCAATCGCTACCGAGACTTGTCCTTAGCACAAGAGCGCTCCCCGAGCGCTGCCCTTGAGACAGACCCTCGGTTGCACGTGATGCTCGTTTCAGGTGGTGCTAATCGGAGATGGCTTCGCCGAGGGCGTCGGAGATTGGGTTGTAATGGGGGGAACGGCTGGCGTTACGCGGATGCTCGAAAAGGAAGCGGGATCGGACGAAAAGGTGATCATGTTGGAGTTGTACATTGAATCACGAGGTGTGCTTTAGGTGAGACGGACGCTGTCATACCCGCGCCTGTTGGGGGTTAGACGATAAATTCGATACAATGTTGAATACCAAGTTTTGAATTCGTACACAGGGAACGGCAGTGCCCTTTGCGTACATACACATGCAACACGTGTGGGGAATTCGTACACAGAAACAGCAGTGCCCTTTGCGTACGTACACATGCAACACGTGTGGGGACCATTCATCGAAGTTCAGAACTCAAGGGTCAGAGTTAGGTTAACGGTCAGGGCTATAGAGGGCAGAACAGGGGACCTTGCACAAATCTATCTTTTTTTTTTTCCTGCAGCAGTACCTTCCGTTTCTTGAAGCACGTGTCTTTTGTTTCAGCGCTCACAGCAGCCTTGGCAGCATGAAATACAGCAGTTGAAGTTCAATGGCAAAACCAACACTCTCACGGTTTTATTTCTGTATGCATAGGAGCATGCCAAGCTCACCCGCCCATCCCCTTCCACCGCCACCGTCAAACATAAGCGTTATATGTATCTCTCCTATCGGTATTTTTTTTTATCGTCGTACTAACGTTTCACTTGTGACGGGCCATCGCTCTGTTGTACTTCTCTTGTCTTTGTGTCTATTGTCTGTGTCTTCACCAACCCCCTTTCCACCGTCAAACATAAGCATGATGTTCTCTCCCGCCAGTCTTTTTTTATCTTCCTTTCACTTGTTCAAACGTTGTTGGATCTCTGCTGTCTATCGTCTGTCTGTCTGTCTGTCTGTCTGTACCTTGGTGGCGACGTAGGTGCGCACGTGCTGGCATATCATCAACCGAGGACGGGCCGGGAGCTTGTCTTCCGATTGGCTGCCATCCGACCCAAAGGTACCCTCAGGGTTTTCCAACCATAGCCTTAAGTCAGACACTGATGTGTTGAACGTTGGGAAAAGACGGCCTGTTCCAGACACATTGCCGTTGTTGCCAAAGGGTTCGAAACGCAAACACTGGCGCCCGCAGGTCGGCCGCAAGTGTGTCGACAAGGTCGGAGCGCCGACAACGTTCATTGTTGCCGTACAGCAGTGCTCCTCGTCTCCCTCGTCGTGCAATGGTATCGAGAAGCAGCAGCCGAGAGATCGCTCCAATGCGCTTGTCTCGCTCAAGAGAAGCTCGCCACAAGCTGAACATGACACCAGGACGAGCGTTTTCTTCTTGGCCGCTGCTGAGACGTCACAAAGTACCACAAACCGCACCAACCAACAGTTTTTCCCGCGCCCTGTCGTAATCGTAACGTACATAGGCCATACTCCCACGCAAAGATGCTCCAACACGAAAGCAATAAACTGTTTCGCTTCTCCCCCCTATATCGCTCCGTCACATTGTAGGGATGCGAGGCCTATGATCTAACGACTACGGCATGCGTTGACATGACTACCCCCCCCCCCCCTCTCGGCGTATCATCCAATGTGTGAATGTTTTCAGTCGCTATACCACCGGAAGGTGCAGTCTGAAGCCTGCAGGGACGCAGAAATCTTCGTAGTGGCGCTGGGTACGATGGACGTGGTCAACGATTGCGTGGGCATGCCCGTCTCAGCCATGCGAAAAACCGCCCTCGACACCTTCGAGGAGGGAGAGATCTGCGACACGGTCAAGAACCTCAGGGAGATCTGCGATGCTCTCAGGGCTGAAGGGAAGAAGGTGCGGGCTTGGTGTGGTTGTTTGATTGGAAGGAAGGGGGATGGGAGGGCGGATCGCTCAGAGTGGCTGTAGTCTAGTCTACGTGACTACCATCTCTTGAGGTCGAGTGTTGGTCCGAAGCAACCACATGAGTAGTATTTCTCGCTCGAACAGGCTGCTCGTGTTGGCAGCCCTCAAGTCCCGACACAGAACCCAACTCCCGGGACACAGTAACAGCACGCCCAAAAGTCCTCAAACTCCTACAGCACCAAACTTCTACGGCACCGACCGTTGCTGCCTTCGCAGGTAGTCGTTTGCAACGTAATGACGTCCGGTGCGGGCATCAATCGCCGCACGGGCACAGCCAAGCGCATCAACCGACAGCTCGCGCTCTACGGCAAGGCAACAGCAACAGCAACAGCAAAAGGAGAAACCGCACCCAAGGGCGGACAACCGGTCGAGGTCGTGAAGATGAACAACCCTCGAGCGGCAAGAGAAGACGGCCGAGCTTTCGACGGCCTCCATCTCAACGCCCGCGGGTACCGCGCGTTTGCCAGCGCGGTGTACGAAGTGGTGGGGCCGATGATGGTGGCCGTGGAGTGGAAGGTCTGGAAGTCCAAGCTAGCGGCGGGTTTAACCAACGGGGCTGGCGGGGCGGCCGTGGCGCCGATTTCTGGAGAGGGCTTCGAGCCAAAGAGCAAGTCCAACAAGAAGGCGGACTAACTACCGTGGGTGACGTGAGATATCACATCCCCCTGGACCGATTTTCAAATCGCGATTTCTCGGCAGGACGGTGCCGGGAATGGCAGCGTTGCAAACTGTCTCGTCGAGAGCTTGCCGAAAATGTATCATTTGATTTCGGCATCCTCTTTGTCGTGGAAGAACAGATGTTTCAAATTCGGTCCCGGGGGTGTGGTATCTTATGCAACCTGCGGTAGTTGGGGAGGGGCGGGCCGTCGTTTTTTGGCGGAACATGCTCGGGGAGAGGGATGGGACGTAGCTGGGGATGGGGTATGCGTTTAGGGGGGCGGCTGTGGCGTGAACGGAGATGGGTGAAGGGGCGTGTTTTGGGTGCGCGTCGAGACCTGCTGCAACGTGTGAGCGGAGATGGCCGAAGGAGAGTGTTTTTGCGTGCTGCACCCAGGAGGCGCCGGGACTTTCTACAAGGTGTCAACAATCTCGGGGTGCTCAGCCCTCTTGTTTGTTGTCTTCGCCGTGGCTGCACCGTCATGCGCATCGGGTTATCGTGGCACGTGCCTGCCGGCGACATGCCGGCGAACCTCACGTGCAAGTGTCTCCGGGTTTGGTCCAGCCATAAGGCTTGGCGTGCTACTGTGCAAGAGCGTGGGATGCGGCCAGGTGGTTCATCACGACCGCTCTCACCGGCTGGTATTGCCCTTGAACATGTTAGGTGTATGCGTTCCGACGCTGGAGCAGAACAAAAGTTGGTACCCTTGATTGAAGCTGTTGCACTTTTGTCGTGTCGACGTAAATATCGAAATAACTGTTCTGATGCCCACGTTGAATTATTTCACGAGCCGGGTGGTTTGAAGCACCGAGGGTGCTGTCAAAAAGGCGACACGCTGTGTAACATGTGCACACACGCGGGTGGACGAAAAAACACAGTGTGGAAACGGGAAGCGTTCGTTGGAAGCGGTTTGATGACACGTTCTTCGACCCGCCCCGGCGTGGCCTGCAGTTGTACACAGCAATACATGCACACCCAACAGCATCGACTACTTTGCACGGCTGCAGTCTTGAGAGGACGGACGTACCTGCATCTCTGCTCTTGACTACTCGAGTGGCTTCCATTGATCCGAGTCAGTCACGACCAAGCCCCGTTTTTGTCATCTCCGCGTAAACTCATGTGTACATGCTGCTCTGCGAAACCTATCGTCTACGGTGTCTACCCTTGTTTGCGGACTCCATTATTTTTGAGTGTGCGTTGTGAAACGCACATTGAAACTTGCACAAGTCGTCCATGGGTGTCTGCAAGACACTGTCAAAACAATACACAGTTTTTCCGCCCTTGGGGCGGATCACACTTCGCCGGCTTTACGTTTACGTGACACGCAGCGAATCCTTGCCTGGTGTGGGCGTGGGCGTATTAAACGTAAGGCTTCCTGGTGGTGGTTTCGGACCACGACTGTAACCTAGGAGAGCTGTGTGATCGTCCGGGGGCACCATAGGCTGTCCCCGTCATATGGCAAGAGGCGTGATCGTGGTGAAAAAGGCTGAGTTATTGCCTTGTTTGACGAGTGTTCCTCCATCAAAAACAACCTTAACCCTCTGCTCTTCAAGCCTCTCTATCGTTACATCGTTACATAGCCGAAACGGTAGGGGTGGTGACTGCTGGCTATGGACTGTACCAAACCAAGAACCGAGATTAGGGGCAAAAAGTTCGGCGCGGCATTTTTAGAAAAAACACGGTGGGCTAGCGCGGGGGGTCACATCGCACGCATCACCTGAGACATCAATTTCTAGGAAGGTTCCCACGTATTGTTTGATTCCTGCTGATGGGTCGCCTCCTGTCTCTCGTCGCCCTTGTCCCCAAGGCGGGGGAAGTTGAAGGGCGTGAGAGTTACAATCCATGAGACTTTTTTGCTCCACGTCTCCTGCGCAATATCACAACGACCTCATGGCTGTGAAGTTGTTGTCGTCGTTGTTACAAGGCACACCACCTCGACAACGCCAAAAAAAGAGAAAGGAGACAACGACACCACCCCCACCGTCCCTCGCAACGTGAGTTTGTCTCGAAGGGGACCTGGTGGCCGCCTTTGAATCTCAAAGCACACGCACGCAGTCTAAAGCGTGACTTCGCTGCGAACCAACATTTAACACGTCTGATGGGCATGCCACTCGCGGTGAATGTACGTGGTCCCTATCAATAGTCCCCGAGCCCCTTCGCGCGGCGTTCGGCACGGCCACCTGTATCTATCGACGTACATGCCCGCCCGAAAAACGAGAGCACGTTTACACCCACGAGTTTGAAAAAACACCATCACTCGTTCTCAGGAATCGCGTTCAGGGGGCCTGCTTGACCACCTGGTGAGATCGGCGTCGCCCCGGCAGCAGGAGCCGCAGCAGCAGCAGCCGGAACGCCGCCGCCTGCTGCGGTACGGCGACCGCCGGTTGTCGCCCCGCTGGCGAGTTGTTGCACCCGAGCCGCCACTCTCGCCTCCAGGTCCTTCATGTGGCTCCAGTGACTTGCCGTCATCGCCTCGTCTCCGAGGGAGAGCGCCGTCAGCCGGGCTATCGTGAGCATCCGGTGGAAGTCTTCCCCCTGCCACCAAGACCAGAAAGAAACACAATGGTGGGGGGGGGGGGGGGGGGGTGAGAGTAAATAGCGGGGAATGAGCAAGGCGGCAGCGCAATAATTTCCGTGCGGGTTCTCGTTGCAACAAGAGAGCTGCAACAGACAGCGCGCGCTGAACCAAGTGCAAGAAGACGACCACAGCGTAAGCCGTTCCCCTGTCGCCGAGAGGAAGAACTGCTAAGCGGCGATAACACGGGGAGTTTGACACCGCCAGAAAACTCGTGCGACACCAAAACCAGAAGCAGTCATGGAGTATTCGAATATTGCCGCACCGTCGTCGATGTTCAACGGCTCAACGTCTTCCCCCCCACCCCCTGAATACATGGTCGTACAAAACGGCGACAGAGATCTACGTAGGAGATCGAGCAGGCGACATAATACTCTGGGCATCTTCAGGATACCTCTAAGCCGCCGTAGTTCTTCCCATACTCCCATACTCTCATACTCTCTGAACCAGCCTAGACTCTCTCTTCGAGCCAATTCAATCGTCTGCTATACACCTCCATCTTCGTCGCTTCTGCCGCACTAAGAGTGTACCGTGTCGGAGACACAAAACCGACTGATAGAGAATATAATGTTCTACTGCTGTAGCTGCTTGACATAGTAGACGAGAACGTACCGTGACCGCTTGCCCCTGCTGTCGGGCCTTAACGAAATCCTCCTCCGCCAGGGCCGACGACTTGTCATCCAGCGACAGCTCCGTCCGACGAGTCGCCTCCAGGTAAATGCGCAACCTCGCCAACAGCGCTTGGTCCTCCGAGCCGGAAGAGGTTCCGCCGCATGCATCGACGACGACGGGCACAACCGCGCCGGCGGGAACCACGGACCCCCGGGCGGACAGCGATATCGTCGGGTGGTCCACTTCGAAGTCCATCTTGTAGAACCCGAAGTCGTAGGGGACCTTTTGGAGCGACATGAGGGAGTTCAGTGCGGCGAGATTGGTGACGCCTTCCGTGCCGACTTGCCCGGGTTCGAGGCTTGTCTCGTCTAGTACGACCACGGTCCCGTCCGACAGCTGCAGGCTGGACATCATCAGCCGGTCCGCTTCGTAGTCCTGCCGAGGATGAACAAGAACCCGACCAAAATACATCATCAGCTTCATTTTCAGCTAAAAAATAGTGAGAAACGCAAGCAGAATCAGTGTTTCGAGGAAATCATACCACAGCGCGAAGTCTCGAGGAAAACCACAGCGCTGCCGTCGGAGATCAACTGCGGAAGTCGAGAAAAAACAAAACCTACGTAGCGAATGTCCCGGAAGATCCACACCAGCAGAGACACCAGCAGCGTGCGATCTTATACTACTGCGTTGACGGTTTGCGACAACTCCCGGACACAGTAGTAGCACCGCGAGAGAAATGAGATGTGTAAAAAACAAGACTCTCACGAAAAATTGGTATCCAGCGGTGTGTAGGGTAGGAGCTCATCCGGAAAGCCACGGCCACGACACCACCAACACATTTTCATATCGAGACACAAGGCAAGAAACCATGCCGTGTACACCGGCCGTTTCCCCTCCAGTCGCCCGTGTCTGCACAGCCAACAAATACTACCCAAAACCACCCGAAGCTGTTATTAGTTCATCGAGGAAATAAAGAGGGGGGTTCCGTATCCCTACCCCTGACCCCCAGCCCCACCCCGTACCCCCCACTAAAACCAAGATAAATATCATCGCGAACGCTACTGCCAAGTTTCGACCCGGCGCTCTCGTTGACAGCGGCAGTGCGGTAGCAATACCTTCTTGGGGGAGAACTTGAACTTTTCCGACAGAGCCTTGGTCGTTACCGGCACCGTAACGCACTTGGGCACCAGGTCCGCCACCGCGGCATGAAAACCGGGGGCGTCGTCCGGCCGTACACCCCGCAGGTTCAGGCTCAAGCTGCCTGGGGCCAAAGACTGATGCGGCGGTGTGTTTGTTGTTTGTTGTTTGTTGTGGCGAGGTAGGAAGGGGAGGCCGGCGACAAAATATGGGCGTGAACGTTAGCGTTTCTTCGTTGAGCACGACAACGCTATCGATTCTTTTCAGTTGTAGTAATAACACGGCTCCTGCTGCGGGTTGGACACCTTTCTGTACCGCTAGCAAGCACCATGCGCTTTTAATACAACGACATGGTCACTTTTCGAAACAAGCGATGAACGTTCTTCGTTCTACATTTTCGCGGTTTATCTCCCTGAGGGGGCGGGAGGGGAAGAGGATACCAGCGCCACCCTAAAAATGCCCGTGCTCGACGACGCGATTCCCATGACTACGTGGCCGAACTCTGAGTCCACGGTACGGAAGTTGGGATCGTCCAAATCACCCACACCAAACAAACGCAGCATCAACAACCACCGCAACAAGACCACACGCGTGAACCGAGTCAGCCCACCATTACTCCACACAGTAGAGGTCCCTGTTTAGCGCCTAGTGCCGGTATAATGCCGGTGATTTTTCTGGGCATACACTGAATCACCAAGTAATTTGAAGAGTGCCGGTGTCCGGTATTGTGCCGGTAGTTTTCGGTGGGCATACACTGAATGACCAAGTCATTTGAAGAATGCCGGTGTCCGGTATAGCGCCGGTGAATTTTTCTGGGCACATACCGGCACCAAACAGGGATCTCTACTCTAGTCCTCGGCCTCGCGTCCACCTCCATCTTGTCGATCCCGCCCCGACGACGCCTGAAACAACGACCCGTGCCATGCACGCACGCACCTCCGTCCGCACGTACGCCCGCGAGAGCAGTGCCAGAAGCGCGTACTCCGCCGCAAGGACGTCTCCGCGCAGAGCCCTGGCCAGGTGCTTGATAGTCTCTTGCTTGGCGTTGCGCATGAAGACGCCGAAGGGCAGCGGCCCTTGGAGGGCGCGCAGGGCATCCTGAGGCTGTTTCGGGTCCACCATCAGGGGTGTGCACGCCCGGAGTTGACGATGGACTGCACCCAGCGAGCGGTGGTGGTGGCGAGTCAGACAGGGAGGACGGGGGGGGCGGGGGGGGGGGGGGGGGGGGA